TCTTTAGCAACGGAATACTTCTACTTCCCTTGGAGTCAAATAGGTTTCCTTTCTTGGACTGTGAAGGCTACCCAAGAAATCTTGAATTAAAACATGAAACTGAAACCAATGCCTGTGTGAGATGAAATAGGCCAGTTGTCTCTTGTGGTAGTTTGAAAGAAAATGGCCCCCAAAGGGAGTGGCACTATTAGGAAGTGTGGCTTTTTTGGTTTGCTGTGTTTGTAGGTATGTTCTTGGAGGAAGTGTGTCGTTGTGGAGGCAGGCTTTGAGGGTTCCTATAAGCTCAAGCCAAACCCAGTGAGACAGTCCACTTCCTGTTGCCTTCTTATCAAGATGTAGCCAGCACAATGTCTGCCTGAAGGCCATGATGATAATGGACTAAACCTCTGAAACTGTAAGCTGCCACCTCAATTAAATGTTTTTCCTTTGTAAGAGTTGCCATGGTCACGGTGTCTCTTCACAGACATGGAAATCCTAACTAAGACATCTCCTTACCTTAGCTGCCTTGGGTAAGATAGGGGATAGTCATGAATCTTCATTTTGTGGGAATGCTATGAGGATCTGGTGTGCAAAGATGCCCTTTGAGAGAGAAGAACAGATAGACAAACAAGGACCATTGTGTCATGTGTTGGCCCCCTACCCCCCAGGCCAGGGCTAGGAGAGGCTGCATGCTTTGCTTCTCCCCACCACCCCGCCCCCCAGTGCAAAAGAACGACCTTTGGAACAGACAAGTGACAAATTCTAGTTTTGCAACATACCTGCTATGTGGTTTTTGGTAGGTTGAAACCTCTCTGTGAGCCTCTCTGGTAAAATGATGTTGATGAGATGCTTGACTTGGAAGATTGTTACCAGAATTAGAAGTTACAGGGATAAAGTTCCTAACAAGTAAGTACCTGGCACACAGTAGGTGCTCTATAAATACTGGCTGTCATTACAGCTGTTATATGTCATAACCACTGCAACAATGATGCCACACTCTTATTCTGAGCCGCCCACCCCTACTTTCCATCTCCCAGAGAGCTAAGCTTCTCTGTTCCTGCCTGAGGGCCCACATACTCCTGGCTGGGTTCCTGGGGAAGGAATGAATACTTTGCCTCCGGACCATTTCCAAAGGAACTGACCAGCTTCCCTGGTTTGCCCAAGACTGTCCTAACTTTAGTCCAGGTGTGCCACAAGTCAGGAATCCCCTTCGTCACTGACAAACTGCCATGGTTGGCTTTTCTCCTTCTCACTGGGATTAGCCCAACCTCTCTGGCATAGATATTAGGTTGCCTAGATATAGAGCATTACAGTTCGTTTTGGAAGCTACCGATGTAGTGCAGTGGCAGTCAGCATGCCTTAGCCCCTGAGCCCTGGGTTCCATACTTACCATAGTGTCCTTTGGGGGTCCTGAAAATGTTCTAAAATCGACTATGGTAATAGTGATACAATACTGTAAATGTATTTTAAAAACCTCCAATTGTGTATGTTAGATGTATAATTGTACATTTATGCTGTGAATTGGTGATGAGTTGTATAACAAAATAAAACATTAAAAGATAATTTAAGGGGCTGGAAACATGGCTCAGAGGTTAAGAGCACTGGTTGCTCTTCCAGAGGTCCTGAGTTCAATTCCCAGCAACCACATGGTGACTCATGACCATCTGTAATGGGATCTGGTGCCCTCTTCTGCAGGCAGAACACTCACTGTATACATAATAAATAAATAAATCTTTTTAAAAAAAGATAATTTAAGGTTTTAAAACGTATGTTTATGGGGGCTGGAGAGATGGCTCAGTAGTTAAGAGCATTGGCTGCTCTTCCAGAGGTCCGGGGTTCAATTCCCAGCACCCACATGGCAGTTTACAACTGTCTGTAACTCCAATTCCAGGGAATCCAACACCCTCACACAGACATACATGCAGCCAAAACACCAATGTACATAAAATAAAAAATAAATTAATTAAAATGTATACTTATATAACTGTTTATTTACGTGTGTGTGTGTGTGTGTGTGTGTGTGTGTGTGTGTGTGAAAGCCAGTTTTTTCCTTCCTCCAAATGTGTTCAGAAGACCAAACTCAGGTCATCAGGCTTATAAAACCTTTCCTGGATGATCTGTCTTGCCATCCTTAAAGCTTCAAAACAATTTTTAAATAGAATTGGAGGATAGGATGTCATATGTCTGTATTCCTATCTCTCAGGAGGTAGCGGAGATCTTCAATTCAAGGCTAGCCTGGGCTTCATAGACTCTGCTTCAAACCAAAACTGAAAAGGCAATGCCAGGAGGCCCAGGACATATAGCGCAGTGGTAAGATGCTTGCCTAGCATGCATGAAGACCTGGGTTTGGAGCCAGCAGTAATGGTGCACGCCTTTAATCCCAGCTCCCAGGGGTGGAGGGGCAGAGGCAGGCAGATGTCTGTGTGTTCAAGGCCAGCCTAGTCTACAGAGTGAGTTCTAGGACTGTCAGGGCTACACAGAGAAACCCTGTCTTGGTGGGGCAGGGAGGTGGGAACCTAGGTTTGACTCCCTAGCACCATTTAAATTAAAAATAAAAAAAAACCCTCCTCCTTAAACCAGTGTTCCTCTTATACGCTTGAGAATCTCATAAGTCCAAATTATCCATCCTTAGTTATTCTGTCACAATTTCACATAAGTATATCTATGATATACTTTGATCATATTCCATCGCCCCATCATCCTCTTGTCCTCAGCCACCAAACCCTTTCTTATCAGCAAGTCACTTCTCTCCTACTTTGATGACTTTTTTGGTATGTGTGCCCTACTTTAGGGTTGCTTGTGTGAGCATGGGTGGGAACACAAAGCATTCTTAACCTCCATCTTAGGGTATCTCATCATTGGCAAAAAACAAACAAAACAACCCCCCGCCCAAAATAAATCAAACCAAACCAAACCACAACAAAAATTTACCCTAAGCCAGGGAGTACCATCTTCGTTTTGTAGGAGAGTAGAGCAAGACTTATTATAAGCAGGATGTAAGAAGATCTTTGACCCAGATCTGTAAGGAGAATCGGTACGTAAGCTATGAGGGGTAGGAAGGAGGGAAGAGCTTGCTGAGCCAGTATTGACAAGGCAGAAAAGGGATCTTACCCTGGTCCTGATCCTGGCAAGACAAGGCAAAAGGAAAGAAATGTGTAAATGAAGCTAAACCAAAGCACCACAGAGGGACAGAAGGGTGCTGCAAAGTGAGGCAGGGTCACAGGAAAAGGACACTCCCGGTGGGGGAGCAGGACTCAGAGGTGTGACAGGTGGTGGCTTGTTAGAGATCTGCTGCAGGTGGGGAGGAGGCTGGCCGGTCAGTTCTTCAGAGTGGTGGTGTGGCTGGATTTCTGCCAGACTGCGGAGAGTCCCGGACACAGTCTGTGCTGCGGACTTTGTTCTCAGTTGTGGACTCTGGTAGGCTGTGAACAATAATAATACCACTTCACACTGTGAGACGTGGCAAGTCCTTCCTGAGGTCCCCTGTTAATGGTCAAACTGCCACACATGGCTGGAGTCTCGGCCGCCCTCTCCGGTATGGGCCTGCCCGCTTTCTTCCCTTGCCTTTTTCATCCGTCCATTGGTTTTCTCCAGTCTCTCCTTTACTCTTTCCTCTGTTCATTTCTCTTTGTCTCTTGGGTGTTCCTGCTAGGACCCCAAGTTTTAGCAAGCATGCTACAGTCCTACAGCATTGCTCATCTTCTTTTTTGAGGCAGGGTCTTGCTTTGTAGCTGAGGCTGGCCTTGTATTTGGAATCCTCCTGCCTCAGCCTCCTTCCTAAGTGCTGGAATTACAGGATGTCCAGATACTGCCGGGCTGTTTTTCAACCCCTTAATGGTCTGGGCAGTGCAGCTCCATTAGTATGGGTAAGTGAGCAGGATGCCAGGTGTCCAGTTTTCCCAGGACAAAACAGGAAAAGGTGGTGGAACACACCACCGGTTTCTCTGAGGCCCATGGGGAAGAGCTCTCTAGGGGGTGGGTGTGCTGTGGTGGTGCTAATTCACAGCACTTTTATTTGAAAGCTTTCTAGGTGAAAGGCCCTGAGGTGTAGCTTTATTCAAAGGGCATCTGGAAAAAACAAACAAAAAAAACCCCACCTCCTTCCCAGTGGGGCTAGGTTGGGCACTTGCCTAGAAAAAAGAATAGGGCAACTCCGCTAAAAGGTCTGCCTGATTTATGAGCCACTGATTTTCAAGGAGTGTCTCAACATTTATTAAACACCTTTGAGACAGGTCAAATACAAGGACATGGGCACAAAGAGCCGCAGTTTCCACTATCATGTGGCCACCCCTCTGCAGTGAGAGGTCACTGTTAAATGGATACAGCGGGCCGTATACAGTTTGCTCACCTGAGATGTGCTGAGAACAGAGCAAAGCTAGGGGCCATACCTGCAGCCCCGGGTCCCCCAGCCCTTGCTGGAACGTCAGCTTTCCTCAATTTGAGATCCACCAGGTGCTTTTGAGTGCGCAGCAATAGCACTTAGGGACATCCATTAAAAAAGATTCCCGAAGTCCACCCCAGCTTTATAGATTCCAAATGGCTGGATCTACATTTCCACACCCACCTAACCCCTCGGGGGCACTTTTGAAGTAGTTAAGTTACACACCATAACCTAGAGTAATCCTTAATAGGGAGATAATAACCTGCTTCAGAGATAGGTCAGGCAACGTGTGCGAAGGAGCCTCTTAAACAGCAATATACTTCTTTGCAAATGACAGTAATTAAAGCATCCAAATAATAACCAAACAATACAGTCAAAGAACTGGAGGGCGCTCTGGAAAGGTGGCGAACTAGAGTCCATATTTAACAGCCAGTGTCGTCAGAGCGACGGTCTCTTTAAGGCACCCCCCCCCCATCCCCTCTAGAGGCGTGTCAGACAAGGCCGGCGGCGCGTGCGCGCGACTCCGCGGGGGCGGTCGCCGCGACGCGACGCCGCCGGCGCTTGTTGCGTGCGCGCCCGGCCCCGCCCCGGCCCCGCCCCTTTCCCTTCCCCCTCCTCCCCCCCCTCCGCGGGGCCTCCCCCACCCTCCCTGTACAGCTGGGCCAGTGACGCTGGCGCAGCGGCCGCGGCGCTCCATCCTCCGAAGCTGGCCCCGGGCTCCCGTCCTGCTCCTCCCGTAGGCGTCCGACCGCACGAGCCAGCCCAGGGCCACGCCAGGCGTCGCGGGGACCCGACCGGGAGTGCAGCCGGGCGGGCGGGCGCGCGCGCGTGCAGCGGCGGAGCGGGTTCTGCGGCGCGGGGAGCTGCGAGCGCCCCCCCCTTCCCGGAGGTCTCGGCGCGGACTCCCCGGGTGAGTTGTCACCACCACCGCCGCCCCGGGGGCCCCGGGGGGGGGGCCGGCTTTGTGTCAGCGGCGCGCGGGGGCTGGTTGTCAGGGCACGGGCGGGCGCGCACCTCCGCGGGGATCCCCGGGCCTCGGCGCGGCCGCCTGCTCCGGCTCTGGCCGCTGTCGGCACCGCGAGGCGCGCCGAGGTCGCCGGGCCCCGGGCGCTCTGAGGGCGGCGGCGTGCTGGCTGTGCGGTGTCGGGGACCCGAGGATCGGGGTCGGCGCCGGGCTCAGGCCCTCCGTGTGGCCGCGCTGGCCCTCCCGCCCAGAGAAGCCGCGGCCCGGCGCGGCGGGACAGGCTTGGCCGAGGCGGGTTTCCTGAGGAAATCTTGCAGCCAGCCGCTCGCCAGTGCGCGTGAGCTCTCGGGAGCCCCAGCGCCTCCTCGCCTCTTCAGCCGCAGAAACTTTATTATGTGGGCTGCCACTCGCCGAAGCCACTTCCTGTTTTGTTTTTGTTAATGTGACTAGGTACAGACTTTATTTTTTTTTTTTTAATCCTTGCAAAAGTCACACATATTTGCGAGTCGGAACGGCCCCCTCACGGTTGTGGTTGTGCAGCCACCGGGGTGGAAAAAACTTAACCTGTAACGGCACTGGGAGGACAGCGAGGCCCAGGAAAAGAGGAGTCAAGTTCATTGGGAACTTCATGGCTCGACAGAGAGGCCCAATGTTGTGGCCACACACTTCTATGGTGACAAGGCTGTGTGCTGCCCTTTGTTGCTTTTGCTGACTGGGATTTGAAGTGCTGTACAGAGAGGTGCGGGGGCATGATCCAGTTCAGTTAAGCCATGGGTATTTATTCCCTTCTAGATCTGCAGCGTCTTTCCACTCTTTACAGGGATCAGTTCGCTTTTTGCTGTTAGAATCCCTTGAGTTAAAAAAATTGATACACACACACACACACACACACACACACACACACACACACTTTTGTGTTCTGGGAATTCTACACCCAGATTGTCACCATCTAGTGGAGACTAGTAGAGACATGCCCTTGGAGTTGACTACTTAGTTTTCTGAGCTTGGCACTTTCTCAGTAGATGCAAATGCAAATAGAAATGAGAATTGTCAGAGTTGGAGGGTGTTCCTGTACCTCAGTAAAGGAATAATTTCATAAAGCGGTTGACAATATGGAAAACTTCTTGAGGGTTTATTGTGTTCCAAGCTTGTGCTAAAAAGTTTCACTTATGGGTTGGGGATTTAGCTCAGTGGTAGAGCGCTTGCCTAGCAAGCACAAGGCCCTGGGTTCGGTCCTCAGCTCCGGAAAATTAAAAAACAAACAGAAAAACCCCTAAAACAACAACAAAAAAAGTTTCACTTAAAAGAGCTACATTTATTTGGTGTAGGTGAGTTCGAGTGTGTGAGCTTGTGTTTGTACATACCATGGTGCTGGTGCAGAGGTCAAAGAACATCTTGCAGTGGGCCAGTTTTCTGCCTCCCAGCGGTTGAACTTAGGTGATCAGGTCTGGTGGCAAGTGCTTTTAACCACTGAACTATGTCACGGGCCCAAGTTTCACTTTGGATCTCATTTAATGACATTTGAGGCAAGGTGGATATTATCCTCATTTTTCCAGTTGAGATAAAAGCCACACACGTTAAATAATTTAGGGCTACAAATTAATTTCTGGAGTCTCTAGATCCTTGAAGCAGCACTACTTGAGGCTGTTTCTTTAATTATAAGCATCCCTAACTCTCTCCTGGATGCACATTTATGGTCGGTGTGCACAATACTACTTGTTCACCATTAAAAATTTTTTTCATTCTGTTTCATGTGATACACAGCTTATACCAGTGGGTGCCTCATATTAGAGCTACTGTGATGAGTAAAACCGAAACCAGACAGGTCTTCATGGTGCTCAGTTTTTTCCCCCTTGTTTTGTTTTGTTTTTTTTTTTGGGACAGGGTTTCTCTGTGTAACAGTCCTGGCACTCACTCTGTAGACTAGGCTGGTCTTGAACTCACAGAGAGCCATCTGCCTCTGCCGCCCAAGTGCTGGGATTAAAGGTGTGCACCACCATACCCGGCTTGATTCTAAGTTTAAATTTATTTTATTTTGGTTTATTGTGGTAATTTTCCTCTTTTGGGAACTTGTACCCATTAAGTGAGAGGACAGTTATGAGTTTGAAACCTGTAGATGGGGGTCCTATCTCCAGAGGGACTTTGAAAATGTAGTAGAAATGATATACGAGCCAAATCCTCACCTCCTGCTATAGAAAAGCCTCAGGGTGTGCAGTCCTGGGAGCAGACCCAGCAGATGGCAGTTTGACCTGCTGTGCCCAGCTTCTCCAAATCTCGCATTCAGGCTCTTTGAAGGAAGAGGAAGACAGGTAGAAAGAGGTGCTGCAGCCTGGCCGGTGGCAGGACCTCAGCACTCGGCCTGTCTGGCTGGTCTCCATGGTGTGGTGATGGATCTGGAGCTCTTATGTAATGATGCGTCTTCCTGACAGGGGATTTCCTCCTCTGCTGTAGCTGGGGCCGCAGTTCCTGCTTCACGGTTTCCTCCACACACACACATAACATGTGTACCCTCCAAAGGTAGCATTTCACTGGGCTTCTAAAAGTAAGCCTGTTTAAAAAGAAGTTTATTATTACTATTTTGCTCACGTTATGCTGGTCCATTTCTCAGATCAAAACTTGCCTTTGGTTGTGCAGTGTCTGTAACCTCAGCACTGGGGGAGGCCTGAGGTCAGAGAGGCATGAGCTCCAGCTAGCCTGGATACATACGGTAAAACCCTGTGTCAAAATCAGATGACAAAAACCAACCGAAATCTCCCCCCTCCCCCAGTATCCTTGCTCTCATTTCATACTTTTTCCTTGTGCTTTTTCTGTTCTTTAGCTCTCTTGAGAGCTGCTCACTGCTGGTATCCTCTGGAGGCTTAGAGAAATAATAGAGTGTCTTAAAAATTCGGTTAGGGGGCTGTAGAGAGGGCTTAGTGATTAAGAGTGCATGCTGCTCTTGCAGAGGACTGGAGTTTGATTCCTAGCACCAAAGCAGCTCACAGTCATTCGGAACTCCAGCTTCGGGGGGGGGAGGGGGGGTTGATGCTCTTTTCAGGCTCCAGAGTGCACACAGACACCTCCATATAAACAATAACATCTTAAGAGTTTTGTGGAGACTAGGCATGGTGGAGAATGCCTAGTCTCTGGGAGGCGGAGGCAGAGTCTGAGGCCAGTCCGATCTACATAGTGAGTTCTAGGGCAGCCAGTGCTACAAAGTGAGATCTTGTCTAAAAAAAAAAAAAAAGAAAACCAGAAAAGAAAAAGTTAAAAATCCAATGAGGAACCTGATTTTCCTCATTTCAGTACCAAACAGGTGATCTGGGAGAACGAGGCAGAACCATTTGCTGGCAATGAAGGAAAGCCAAAGAGCATACGGTACTTGTGTTTTCCCTTATTTCCATTTACCAAGTGACACTTGATGAGAGGTAGTGGCAGGTCCCTGGAGCCCACTTGGCTTGGCCACCTGTCTCACCTGTCTGCCATATATACATTAAACATTTTACTGAGCTCTTGGATTGGCATGTAGTCTAGCCGAAGCTGATGAACGGAATTCATTTCCCTTTTTCTATCTGCCTGAACTCACAGGATTCCTGCTGAGAGCATTCTCTCAAGCAGTATGAGAATAGAGAAAAGGAACAGATAAAGGAATCCTGTATCAAGTTTGAGGCCAACCTGGTCTACAAAGCAAGTTCCAGGACAGCCAGAGCTGTTACATAGAGAAACCCTGTCTCAAAAAAACAAAAACAAAATAATAATAATAAAATAAAATAATTTCTTGCTGGGCAGTGGTGGCACAGGCCTTTAATCCCAATACTTGGGAGGCAGAAGCAGGCGAATCTCTGTGTGTTGGAGGCCTGCTTGGTCTACAGAATGAGTTCCAGGACAGCTAGGGCTACACAGAGAAACCCTGTCTTGAAAAACAAAACAAAACCACAACAAAACAAATTCAAGTGTTGCCGACTTGAATGTGAAGATTATGACATTTGGGTTAAGGGCAAATATTGAAACAATATGTGATAAGAGATTTGGTTTCTCTGAAAATTGCTTCTATGCAGGGAACACTGTCTCAGTCCATTTCCTGTTATTGTAACAAAGTACCTGAGATGTGGTAATTCATAAAGAAGAGCAGCTTATTTGGCTCACAGTTGGAAACCAGGAAGTTGGGGAGCTTGGCACCAGCGTCCTGCATCATAACACAGCATAGGGTATCACATGGTAAAATGAGCAAACTTGGTAACTTGAGTCTCTTCCTCTTGTAAAGTCAGCATGGGCGCCCCACCCTCGGGACCTCGTTAATCCTAGTTATCTGCCAATGTATCTATTCGCCTTCTAGTCCCAAATAGACTTCATATATGACTTTGAGGATTTTCTAGTACTTGAACTTTTAGGGGGCACATTCAAACCATGGGATGAAGAGGAGGGAAGATTTTGAATTCAAGGTTAGCTTGAGTTGCTTAGTGAGATCGTTTCCAAACAAACCAACCAACCAGCAACCAAAACACAGCACCCACATATGTAATAATAAAGCCTTCACCTAGTCGAATGGCTTTTAGGAAATTGATGCTCATAAGGTATATGGCCACATTGTAGGATACTTAAAAACTTAAAGCTGTGAAAACTACTGTGGTGTGGGAGGGCTGTTTGCTTGCTGATGCGAAGGAAGAATGCAGCTTAGAGTTGGGGCTAGAAGCTTTGTGATACAGAGTATTTGAAGCTGTGGATCTTGAGACCCAGGAAGCCGTCAGGCAAACCTTGGGGTGACTGACTTTGGGCATGAAGATCTCATGGCTGAGATTCCAGTAAGGAGACATTCATTGTTCCTTTGGTTGATGATCATGAGTGCTGCCCTGTAAACATTTTATGTGGGTCTGGCAGGCACCTGTTGTCTTCTGTCTTTAGTCTCATATCTGTGCCTGTCTGTCATGTACCAACCCCCCACCTCCCAGGTTTTTTTTTTTGTTTTG